TCCGAATGTCAAGGATGTAACAGTGTCTCTGACTCTGTTCACAGAAGCGATGGGGGGGGGAACCGTTTATATTCAATTCTTAATTTACAACCTGGGCACAACCTGTTTGGGCTTCGCTGTTGGTCGCCCTTCGGAAGCAATGGTTGCAGCACTGATCGTTTTGTTGGGCTATGCCAGAGAGAAGTAAATACCTCGAGGGGTCCCCACTCCCACTGTCAAGAAAGGAAGGCAGTTTGTAAACCAGGAGAGAGAGGGAAATTGGTTCCCAACTCTCATCTCAAATAGGATGGGAGCTGAGCACCCATTCTTTCCTTTCTCTCCTAGGCTTGCTAAGTCCCCCCGGGGGGCAAGGAAACCCCCACCCCAGAGGCCCGTTCCCTGCCACCAGTGGATCGGGCCCCGGGGGGAACTCCACCCCGATGTGCACGTTGCCGGAAGTGACGCGGGCACGCTGGGGGGAGGGCCACGGTCATCCGAGGGAAAATTCTATGGTTTTCCCTCGGATGGTCGTGGCCCCGCCCCCAGTGTGCCCGGCGTGCCTGTGTCACTTCCGGGTGACATGGATGCGGGGCACGCACGCTCCAGCCACCAGCCGGGAGTCCCCCGCTGCGGCTGAATTCACACTTGGGAACCCTATTCTCTCCAGTAGGGAAAACAGATGGACATTTAGCACCCAGCTCCCAGCCGCTTTGCAGCAAAATCATAAGAACATAAAAAGATCAGACCAACAGTCCATCTAGCCCAGCATCCTGTTTCACACAGTGGCCAACCAGTTCATCTGGACAGCCAACAAGAGGGCATGGAGGCCGAGGCCTTCCCCTGAGGCTGCCTCCTGGCTCTGGGATTCAGAGGATTAGTGCCTCTCAATGTGGAGGAGGTTCCCCTCAGTCACCAGGGCTAATAGCCCTTGAGTGACTACAGGGATTTCGCAGCGCTGGAACCTTGCCTTTGAATACCCTCTTTCTTGAGGCTTGCCTGGTGCCTACCTTACTGACCTTTCGGTGCCAGGCCAAAGGATTTGTTTTTTTTGTATATCCAGGCTTTCCCCATGTTTTAACACTGTATCTATAGTCTGATGCTAGCCTGAGGACTGTTTTATGGATATCACTTCAGGCTACTGAATGTTGCTCACCACCACTCCGAGCCGTTCCATCGATTCCCTACTTAAGGATCAACACTATCTAAGGAGCATCTCCTCCTCATGATCTCAAATAGCTACCCACTTTAATGGGAACTTTATGGAAAAGTGTAACCGCTCCAGAATCACACGGCACACACTGAATCATTTGCAGAGAAGAAAGTTAACACGGAACTAACACGGAACATCACGGCTTGACAAGCTCTTGATGTAGAAACAACAACATGTTTTTCTTCTTTTTGAAGAAAAAAAGAAAAACTAGAGAAGGGCAGAGTAGTTTTAAACATATTCTAATTATATCATTAATCCTCACCTAGAAGGGTGTTTTTAATAGGCTACCCCTGTCATTCCTTTCACTTCATTTAAGTAGTCTCGGGTCTCTTTTGATCACAGGCTTGCTAATTGCATTGAATTTGTGGGGACTCTGACTTTATGGATCACAAAGACTATTAAGAATTAAGTCGACAACATCAAACTCGTTTTTTACATTCCTTTAATGAAATTACTGGTGCATGTGTGTTAGATTTTGAGAGTCTATTCCCCCTCAAACCCTGGGAAAATGATAAGCTGGAAGGTTAATAAACAAATGCGGACGCTACTGAAACTCTTTGCATTAATATTGACGTGGGAAGGGAAAGGTCCTTGGACCGAAGTATGGAAGCGTCTTATTGGAAACCCTCCGCCTTTTACCATTCTTCAGCCTTGCAGCTGTGCTCTGAATCCGCTACAGTTTATGGACAGTTTTTTTGGGGGGGGGGCACACATAAATCTTACTGCACTAATTTCGTGTGGGTAGAAGCGCCTTTGCAGGGACGAGCTGTCATCTTCCTTCTTCCGATGGTTAAGTGTCACGCAAGGTTTCAGATCTGCAGTTTAGCGAAGGTGCCACTTTTGGGGATAATTTTGGTGGAGCTGCCATTTTGCGCTTTCAAATGCAGGAGGAAGGCAGGTAGATAAGCAGTGACTGCACCCTGTCATCGGCATATGGTGGTGGTACTTTTGCTGAATGGTGTTCTCCACCATGAGGTCTTAATAGGAGCAGAGCCTCACCGGAGCCAGGACTGGAAACTGTCAGCTCCAGTATTGTGAGAGCTCTACATCAGGGTAGGAACCCAATGTTCCCTCTAAGCCGTGGAGTCTTATGAGCAAAACTCCTACTTTGTGAGCTACTGGCATTCAAGTTGTGAGTCAGTGATTTGGCTGCTGCATAAATTAGTGTGCTCTGGAGCCACCCTTCCTGTAAAGGTAAAGGTAAAGGTTCCCTTGCTCGAAAGCCAGTCGAATCCGACTCTAGGGTTGCGGTGCTCATCTCCGTTTCAAAGCCGAAGAGCCAGCGCTGTCCGAAGATGTTTCCATGGTCATGTAGCCGGCATGACTAAACACCAAGGTGCACGGAACGCTGTTACCTTCCCACCGAAGTGGTCCCTATTTATCTACTTGCAATTTCTTGCTTTCGAACTGCTAGGTTGGCAGGAGCTGGAACTAGAGACGGGAGCTCACCCCATCTTGCAGCACCCGGGTCTTGAACTACTGAACTACTGACCTTCCACAGCCTGCAGTTCAGCATCTTAACCACTTGAGCCACCGCACCCTTCCTGAGCGAAGGCAAAAATGTGTGAGCCGGAGGCTAAAAAACTGTGAGCTGCCTCACACTCACTCAGCTTAGAGGGAACACCGGTAGGAGCCCAATGCATTTATTCATCTGAAATGTCAACCGGCGCCCAGGCAGACAAGGGGAATCAGCTACTAAAACGTTATTCCGTCGACAAATGTTCATGTCACTCCACCAACTCCTGCCAAAGGGAGATTTTTCACAAATTCGGCTTTCTCGAAAACCTTCTCCTAATTGGTTTCTTAAACGCAGCGTCTTTTTTGTCAGAAGCAACTGCGGGTCAAGAAGAGTGCTGCGGGTCACCAAGGAATGTACGCGTGAATCGCCCCCTCCCCAGTAAGCACATTAATAATTATATAATGAAGTTTTCTTTAATGGGAGATCAAAGGGTTCTCAAAGCTGACACCCGCTCGGCCGCTTCAGTGTTGTTTTGCAAAGTGACAGCCAAGTTGGGGGGGGGGGGGGAAGCTGAGGGTTTTCAATGTAACATCAAGTGTCTGAAGGTTTTATTTCTAACTGTCAGGGAAGCCTGACATGTAAGTGACAAGCAGTGCATATAATGGTCTAATTGCATCTTCCCCCCGGAGCTCAGAGGGAGTGACAGAGTTAGTGTTTACATTCCGGATGGCGCGGTGCATGTTGGGATGGGGGGACAACTGTCACGGCAACCCAGCCCTAATCTGTCCACACAGATCTGGGAAGAGATGTTGCTCCAGAAAACTCCCTTGTGGGATAAGTCCTACGTGCAGGATTGCAGTTTGCAAGGTAGCATTTAGTCCCTCTTCCTCTGTCTTTCTCTTCATCCACATTCTCCCCTCCCCGATAACTCTTTCTGCTTCTAGGGGTATATCTAGACGGCCAAACTGTATGCGATTTCTTGCCGCACATCTTCTTTGGCATCCCCTCGTACGCTGTTAAATTCTCCATTACTGCTCTCCTCCTCCGTTTTTCTATCTGTAGTAGCCACAAATCAGAACAAATCAGTCAATCCTAAAAGAAATCAACCCTGACTGTTCCCTGGAAGGCCAGATAATGAAACTGAAGCTCCAATACTTTGGCCACCCAATGAGAAGGGAGCACTCCCTGGAGAAGACCCTGATGCTGGGAAAGATTGAAGGTCAAAGAAGACGGGGACGGCAAAGGTTGAGATGGTTGGACAGTGTCATCGATGCAACGAACATGAAGTTGAGCAAACTTCAGAGGATGGCGGAAGACCGGAAGGCCTGGCGGGAGCTGGTCCATGGGGTCGCAAAGAGTCGGACTCGACTGTGCGACTGAACAACAACAACAAGTAGCCACAACCTTCACTCACGTGTTTTCACCACCTGAGCCTCTGGAAGGTCTACTAAAGAAAAAAACCAACCACCACAACAAGACAATTCCAAGCAGTGTCCTTGCTGTGTTTTATGCCTGGAAATCTCTCCGGATGTCCGTTGTGGTGAGAGGAAGTGAGAGCCAAGTTGGCATAGTGGATAAGAGCAGCAGACTCTCATCTGGAGAAATGGGTCTGATTCCCTATTCCTCCTCCACATGAAGCCTGCCGGGTGACCTTGGGGCAGTCCCAGTTCTCTCAGAACTCTCTCAGCCCCACCTGCCTCACAAGATCCCTGTTGTGGGGAGAGGAAGGGAAACTGCTTGGAGACTCCTGAAGGTAGAAAAAAGTGGGGTATAAAAACCTACAAGTCTTCTTCTGCTTCTTCAAATTCTTCTCAGTGTCCTTCTGGGAAGCCTTGAGGTGGATTCTTTCATCCTCAGTCTTCAAGGGCAACTAAACCCAAGGACATATCACTGCATTGGCTCACACTCAAGCCCTATTACTCTTGGGCCAATTTCACACAAGAGCTGCGCCGCGGTCACGCCTCCCTTTGCCCTGCTTCTATTGGTCAATTTCCCACTCGAAGCCGCACGGCCACATTTTGACCCGCGACTTCGCCCCATTTTCCCTGCAGTTTTGTGATCCTCAAAAAATCGGGGGAAGCTGCGGGTCAAAACGCGGCCGCGTGGGGCTAAGAGAGCTCTGACGGAAACTGCTCTTTTTCAAGAACAGCTGTGCCAGAACTTTGGCTTGCCCAAGGTCATCCAGCAGCTGCAACTGGAGGAGCGGGGAACCAAACCCGATTCTCCCAGATTAGAGTCTGTGCACTTAATCTCTACACCAAACTTGCTAAACTGGCAAGAAGGTTACAGTTTTAAAAAACTGTGGTTAGGTTCAGAAGATAAGCAATAAAAGTGGAAATCGTTGATGCTTACTTGATAGGATTCTTCGCAGCGTCTGGGTCCCGGGCAGCGAGGGTTCCTATGACGGTGTTTATTGGGACGTCTTCTTTCACTTCCAGTACATACGCCGGTCTGCTGAACACTGGAGGCTCGTCGACATCCTCCACCTGAACCCGGACCGTGGTGACGTCTTTGAATGGTCCGAGATAGACGAATCTGGGATCTACGTGAGGGTTGGCGGCCTCCACTTTCAGAGTGAATTGTCTCCTCTTTTCAAAGTCCAGTGGCTGAGAAGAGAAATTCTGCATGTTACGGGAAACTTAAAAATACTTTTTTCCCCACAGGAAGCTTGACATTTAAAGAGGCACCCGGCTGCCTTGAAGGATGTCATTTGCGTGATTCAAAATGCACACCTGAAGGATCTAAACGGCACCTCCCTGACCTCTCGCCATACTCTGCCCTCATCTGGCTGGTGCCTGCCCTGGGCCTGGCTTGCATAATATAGCTAACTGGGCTGAATGCAGCTCACCAGCTGTCGACAACAGTCAGCAGCCATTTCTTAAAGCTCTTTTGTCAAACGGGGGACTAGCTGTCCATGGCTGGTGGTCTCCATTCAGTCGGGCAGATCACAAATCCAGCAGGCCTAGGGCAGGACCACTGTCGAGCTATACATTCGGTAGTGCTGCAAGCCGGAGGTTGGCAACCAGCAGGAAACTCACCTCGGGGGGGGGGGGCCGTCACCGGCAAGGTAATGATGTCCCTTCCGGAAACACTCTAGCCCAGGTGTCCACAATGTGGTGCCCACAGGAAGCAAGGCACCCAGTGACACCTTTCTGGGTGCCAGCCACCAAATGCTTTTAGAAAGGGAACGGGGCTAGGTGGGGCTTTCCCCCAACAGGGCTTCTGATTGGCTGTGAAGATGAAAAGGTTTCCTGTTGAACAGAGCTTCTGCCTGTTCAGTGGAAGAGGTCCTATTAGAGTTATAGATCACCTTCCTCCCTGACATTGGTGGCTGGCCCCGCCTCCTGCGGCAGCCATTTTGCGATTGTGCTCTACCTCCTGTGGCAGCAATTTTGTGATTCTGCCCTGTGTTGGAATCCCAAAGTTGCCGCAGGCTCAAAAGGGTCGGGGACCCTGCTCTAGCATTTGGCTCAAGGACATGCCGGAAGTGACGTCATGACGTTGCCGGTGACGCCATTTGCCCCCACCTTTGCCCCTGCTGTTTTCTCCTGCCACCCAGCTGAGCAGTGGCAGTCAGGGCGGGCGAAGGGCAGGAGGTCTCCTATTGAGGTGGGAGGCTTTGCTTCCTGACACCAGCACTTTCTTTGTAGGCATTCAGCTCTAGGACGCCTACATGTACCATGAAATCTACTTAGGTAACAGCACTCCTAATGCAACCCTGCTAGGGTTGCCAAGTCTTACCTGCTGCTGGAGCGGGGGGCTCCCGGCTTGTTCCTGGAGTGTGCACACCGCAACCCCGTCACCCGGAAGTGGCGCGACCATGCCGGGCACACTGGGGGTGGGCCACGACCATCCAAGGGAAAACCATAGAGTTTTCCCTCGGATGACCGTGGCCCCGCGCCCAGCGGGCCCTGC